AATTTCATGAGAGAAAATGATTCAATATATGGAAAAAATAATTTGCCAAGTTTCAGAAAACTTCAAAACTATGTTAAATGAAAAAATAACAATTATGTAATTGAGAGAGGCTATAAGAAGACAAAAAACTGAAAAAACAACGGGACTAGATGGGCTACTGGCAAAGTTGTATAAATGTCTCCAAGATGCACTAAGTACACCATTGAAAGATGTGTGTAATGAACTTTTGTTGGAGGCTAAACTCCCATATACATGGTCAGAAGCAAATATTACTTTAATACCAAAAGCAGACTCAGATTTGACACAGACCAATATCATTACTAAATGTGGACTATAAAATTTTTACTTCAATAATAGCGGAGAGACTGAAAAGATTTTTAACTGAATTTATACATCCAGATCAAAATGGATTTCTACCAAAGAGAAAAATAAAACGAAGAGTTATAACGGACATATTGGAATATTATGAAATGCATCCAGGGAAATAATTGGCATTAGTATTTCTAGATGCTCAAAAGGCATTGGATAATGTTTCCTGGCAATTTATGACTCAGCAACTAAAAACAATGGACTTTGGACAACATTTTATAAATATGATTGAAACAATATACCACAAACAAACAACAAAAGTGATTGTAAATGGAGATTATACAGAGAACTTTGATATAAGAAAAGGCACAAGACAAGGATGTCCACTATCTCCATTGTTATTTATCCTAACTTTGGAAGTTTTAACTAGAAATATTAGACAAGACACAGAAATTAAAGGACTAGAAATAAAAGGTGAAACTTATAAACTACAAGCATTTGCAGATGACTTGGTATTCGTCCTAGAAGAACCTTTAGAGATGATCCCTAAATTATTGGAAAAGATAGAATAGTTTGGAGAGATAGCAGGACTGAAGATAAACAGAGAAAAAAAAAACTAAAGTGATAGTTAAAAATCTTACAGATAAACAAAAAAAACAAAACAAATGTCAGGACAAATAGAATTACAAATAATTAAAAAGGTTAAATATTTTGCAACATATCTAACAGCAAGATGTTCAACGATAAAAGAAGATAACTATATAAAATTACTGAATCAAATAAAACTGAACCTGGAAAAATGGAAAAACTTGCAACTGTTGATGTTAGGAAGAAATAGCTACGGTGAAAATGAATATATTACAAACATATTGTTTTTATTCCAAATGATATCTATAAAACTGGAGAATTTTTTTTTGAAGATTTAAATTCACTAATTTTGAAATTTCTTTGGCAAGGAAAGAAAGCTAGAATCAAATTGAAAATTTTACAAGAAGCTAAGGAAAATGCAGGTTTTGGCTTGCCAAAGTGGGTTTTATATTATCCAGCATCTGTACTAACATGGGTAAAAGAATTGATAACTCTTAGAAATAAAAGGTTGTTGTATTTGGAGGGACATGATTTACAACTTGGTTGGCACACTTTCTTATGGTATGGGAAAAATAAAATTCATAAGTATTTTCAAAACCACTATATCAGAAACATATTATTACTAACATGGGGGAAAATAAAATGTAAAATATACTTGAAAATTCCAGGATGGCTTTCAACAAATGGAAGCATTTGTACATCCAAATTTATTTTTGAGAAAATACGGACATATAAAGATATTCTAAACTCTGAAGGGAATTTAAAATCTAAACAAGAGATGGAAAATCAGGGTATTGATCTATCATGGTGGACATACTTACAAATGCAAGTTAGATATGATAAAGATGTTAAATTGTACTGATTTTATAAAGAGCAGATCTTGTTTAATCAGACATTATTAAGCTCTGATGAGAAATTAATTAAGAAAATGTATAACTTTTTATTGAATTTGAAAATGGAAAATGAACAAGTTAAAGAAACAATGATAACATGGGCAAAGAATTTTGGATATAATATAGATTTAGAAAAATGGCAAAACTTGTGGTAAAGAAACTCTAAATTTACAATGTCAGCTTCTTACAAAGAAACCTTATATAAAATGTTTTATAGATGGCAGGTACTTATTATCATGTATGGTGGACATGTGTTAAAGCAAAGAGATATTGGACAAAAATATATACTTGGCTAGAAAAGATATTGGGAAAACATGTAGATTTTAAACCTGAACTTTTTTTTATTAGGTATAATGCCAGAAAAGGTTAATAAATAAAGTATATACTTGTGATAACAGCGACAAGAATCATATTCACACAATATTGGAAAAATGAAGAAATACTACCAGAGGAAGAAATAATTAAAAAAATAATGGACAGATTTACTTTGAGGTTGAAAGAAAAAGAAGAAACAAGAAATTTTGAAAAGTGTGTTTATAAAAGCCTAGTCTACAATACCAATGAAGAAGAAAAATAACAGTTCTCAAAAGAAACCATATGGATTCGTAACTAGCTGACCAACCACATTCAATGTGTAGTCCACAATGGAACTGCATTGACATGGAGGGAAGTATGCAGTGGGGTACCAGAAGGCTCTGTTTTAAGCCCAGTACTCTTCAACATGTTCATCAATGATTTGGATGGGGGGATAGATGGGGAACTCATCAAATTCGCAGATGACAACAAGCTGGCAGGAATAGCCAACACTCCAGAAGAAAGGCTTAAGATACAGAAGGATCTTGACAGACTTGTCTGTTGTTGAGAGTCTAGAAAGAATACAGAGAAGAGCAACAAAGATGATCAGGGGACTGGAGGCTAAAACATATTAAAAATTATTGCTGGAATTGGATATGTTTAGTTTAATGAAAAAAAAGACTACATGATAGCAGTGTTCCAATATTTCAGGGATGGATGGGTGGAAACTAATCAAGGAGAAAAACAATCTAGAATTAAGAAGAAATTTCCTGACAGTTAGAACAATTAATCAGTGGAACAACTTGCCTGCAGAAATTGTGAATCCTCCAACTTGGAATTTTTTAAAAAGAGATTGGACAATCATTGGTCTGAAATGGTATAGGGTTTTCTATTCTATTCTATTCTATTCTATTCTATTCTATTCTATTCTAAAAAGATTACCAAAAATTTTGCAATATAATTTGAGAGGGTTTTTTTTTTAAAAAAATCTTTTTTCACATCCGTTTCACTGTAATTATGAATATCTATAAAACATGAAGGCAGTTCTTAAACACTATATATTTACTATATGTTTTAACTTTAATGTTCACAGTTCTTTGAATATTGTAAATTAGCATCCAGAATATGGGCAATAATTAAAATGTTAAACCTGGAGATTTATGAAATTAATGGTACTTCTGTCTTATTGAAATAATGATTATCTCATACAGTTCTCACTTTCATGTTTGGAGAAAGCCAAATGTCCCTAAAGAAAGTATGTTTAACTAGGCTAAACCTATGAAGTGATAATCCTCTGAATGAAATTAATAAATGTACTTTAACAAAGACACTAACTCCTTGTGAGGAAAGGAAGTGAGCATAAAGCTATGGTTACTCAAAATGCATCAAAAACATCTCCACCTATTCTTATATTCATATTAATCTTTTTCGCTTTATAATTAATATTTACATATTTTTATATATTAGCTTTCTTGCCTTTTAGGACAAAAGAATTTGTTAATAAAGCTCTTAGGATTTTTAATATATTCACAGTGACCTCCAGTGTTCTGAAACCCATTTTGATAAAACTGTTCTATACAGTCTCAGATTTAAACATGCTTATACACACACAAAGTTAAGAAGCTCACTGTGTCCCATCAATAGGTGGAATAAAAGGAGGCAATCTGAGTTAGCTGGAAGACAAGGAACATAGTATAGCCAATTAAATACTAAAACCCATGGGTCATTATGCTGTTTGCAAGATAAAATCCCAATTAACAAGAGTAGTAATAATAAATGCAGGATATACCAATGTGGTAATAAAACTATGGTAACAATAAACTAATATGTTCAATTTAATTTTATTATGGTGAGATTAATAACTTATCTGATCATCTTCAAATTGCACTCCTATATTATAATTGTGCGTGTGTACATAGATAATATAATAATTATCCAATATTATCAATTGTATAATTGTACATGTTATCATATACACATAAAAATGTTATTCACTTCCATCATAGGCCACATTTTCCTGTCTAAATCTGCAATAGCCATCTAATAAATGAGAAATAATATATTGTTTAAAATGCAACTTTGAAAAAAACTGGTGTACTGTATACAAGATATATGTGATCCTTTAAAACACATTTTAATGCAGATTTTCTCTATGGAGGCCAACTCTTATTCTGGAGTCTTGTCTCAGAATGAAAGCTGGAAGCATAAAGTTCGCAAAGGCCATCTTCCTTTAGCCATAGAAAAGTTACATTTTTATCACAAAGGAGCTTAGAATGGCATATCATACCTACTCACAAACTCATACCTCTATTGCTTCCCTAACCAGACATTCTGCTATGAGGTAAATTAGATAGGTAAAGTGAAGAGTTAGACTCTGAGGTAAATTAAGTAGATGAAGTTTATCTCCTCTCAGCTCTCTCCTGTCACCTTTATGCAAACTTGTTAGTAACTTTTTAATAATTTTGTAAGTAAATTGGGCTGGGAGAGAAAATCTGGGGGAAAATAATCTGCAGCTTTAGGGACAGAGATGCTGATTTCCCTTCACTCAAAATGCTGCTCAGAGCTTGTTTTATATACATTTAAGTTTGACTCAGGTTAAACAGACTGGTCTGCAGCTCAGACATTGACTTTGAAGGCATAATTTACAGCTTCTGGGAACAGAGCTCCCAAATTGGAGGGAAAAAAGAAATTAGCTTCTCAAACAGTGTTTTTCAAATTTGCCCACTTTACTATGTGTGAATTTCAACTCCCAGAATTCCACAGTAAATTGCCAAGATTGGTAAACATTGACATACCATTCCAAAGGATACAGAATAATGAATTTAAGGAAACGCTTCCTAACAATTAAAAGCAGCTACACAGAAGAACAGCTTTTACTATTAGGATTTTTTTTTCTTATGATCAATTAAAATCTACCTTCTTCAAGCTCAATATTTCTTGGCACATCTTCAGGAACAATTAGATCAATTCTGCTGGACTTCTATTTAGCAGCCCTTCAGATCCTTCAGAGGACCTATCGTGTCTCCCCAGTTTCCCCTCACAAATGTAAACTTTGAGACCACTAATTATCTTGGTTGTTCTCTTCTGTATATGCTCCAGTTTAGGAACATCCTCCTTGAAAGGTAGTGCTTAGAACCTTACAAAATATTATTTTAAATTTTGACAAAAATAATAGAAATAATGACTTCTCTGTAATATATATTTACAATCCATATATTGTTGTCATGATTAAATTACAACATAATTAAATTACAACATAATTACAAATTATTACAGACATATTAGTAGAATAAAAATTTTAATATTTGGAAATGCTCTTCTTTAAAAAGAGATGCTCTTTTAAACTTTATTTACTGGGGCTAAGGTGGGAGAACAAAGAAAAATAACACCTTGCGCATAAGTTTCCCTAGGAGCTAAAATGTAGAGTTCAGTTAACAAACATTCCAAACATAGATATTATAACTTTAAAGGAAAGAAGTATTGCTGTTATGTATACATTATGGAATTGGTGTTAGAAAAGTTGCAAATCGTCCAATTTAGAGTCAATATATTCTTAAAGTGGACAAAGAATGAAACAGATACAACAATAAAATCAAATGTAATGGGAAAAACTATATTCAGAAGTAATAAAACAAAATTATATCCAGTTAGCATTCCCAAAACATTATCTTATTCTTTCCCCTTAATGTAATAGCACTCATTTATTTCTAATTAGCAATATATTTACATTTAGTATCAAACCTAGATTCATTACTTTTATTTAAATTGTCATTCTGTAACATGCTTCCAGTGAACTCAATCAATGTCAGTTCAGAAGGAGAGATCAAGGTTAACTACGGTGTTTCCCAGATGAATGTTTTGAAAACAGGGATGAAGGTTCTGCATCCTTCAAAGAAAGCAATTCTTTTTGTTTTTGTGCCTTTCTCTTTTTCATCTCTTCTTTTATAGCTTGTCTGCAGAATAAGATAAGAGAAAATTTGAAATTAACCTGAGCATAAAGTAGAAGAGATATTATTTGAATTTTAAAGCTGAGAATAAACCTAGATTATGATTACAGCTAAATATTGAAGCCATATTTTCTGATAAAGCTCTCAAACAGGCAACTCGTAAATGCTTGAAATATATGTATACATAAAGCCTTTCACAATGAGTCCAAGTTACAATCCAGCTACTTATGAGATATTGAATGTTTTTCATTGTTGTTGTTAGTTGCAAAGTCGTGCCCGACCCATCACAATCCCATGGACAATGTTCCTCCAGGCCTTCCTGTCCTCTACCATCTTCTGGAGTCCATTTAAGCTCATGCCTACTGCTTCAGTGACTCCATCCAGCCACCTCATCCCCTTCTTCTATTGCCCTCAATCTTTCCCAGCATTAGGCTCTTCTCCAGTGAGTCCCTCCTTCTCATTAGGTGACCAAGGTACTTGAGTTTCAATTTCAGGATCTGGCCTTCTAAAAAGCAGTCAGGGTTGATCTCCTCCAGGACTGACCATTTGATTGCCTTGCAGTCTAGAGGACTTGCAGGAGTCTTCTCCAGCACCATAGTTCAAAGGCCTCAATTCTTGGTGGTCCAACTTTCACAGCCATATTGCAACTGGGAAAGACTATAGAATAACTTATTTCATTCAGATATAATGGGCGAGGGATGAAGATGGGGAGGAAACTGGGCTGCAGGAGTGAGGATAGTATAAGAACTTGCTGTTGTCATTTTATTTAAAGTAAATAATAATAATAATAATAATAAAAAGTTGGAAGAGACTTTGGAGGTCTTCTAGTCCAACCCCCTGCTCAGGCAGGAAACCCTATATCATTTCAAACAAATGGTTGTCCAGTCTCTTCTTTAAAACTTCCAATGTTGGAGCATTCACAACTTCTGGAGGCAGGTTGTTCCACTGATTAATTGTTCTAATTGAAATTCCAGCAACCATTCCTTATATGTTTTAGCCTCCAGTCCCCTAATCATCTTTGTTGCTCTTTTCTGCACTCTTTCTAGAGTCTCAACATCTTTTTTACATTATGGTGACCAAAACTGGATGCAGTATTCCAGATGTGGCCATACCAAGACATTATAAAATGGTATTAACACTTCACGTGATCTTGATTCTATCTCTCTATTAATGCAGCCTAGCATGGTGTTGGCTTTTTTGGCAGCTGCAGCACACTGCTGGCTCATATTTAAGTGATTGTCCACTGGGACTCAAAGATCCCTTTCACAGTTACTACTATTGAGCAAGGTACCACCTATACTGTGCCTGTGCAGTTGTTTTTTCTTGCCTAAGTGTAGAACCTTACTTTTTTCACCATTGAATTTCATTTTGTTAGATAGTGCCCAAAGTTCAAGTCTGTCAAGATCCTTCTGTATCTAAGCCTTTCTTCTGGAGTGTTGCCTATTCCTGCCAGCTTGGTGTCATCTGCAAATTTGATGAGTTCCTCATCTATCTTATTTAAGCAATCAAGTTCTCCAGTAAAGGAAAAGAACAGTAATATATTTAAAAGTTGCTGGGATTTTTTCCAAAGTAAAGAATATCACATTAATTTCAGGAATAGTGTAATATCCATACAACAGAAATGCAATTCTTATAGATTACACATGGATGTTACAAAGTAAAGCTCGGATTTTGTTGAACCGTGAAGTATGTAAATGTGAGAGCAGACAAATACAAGAATCCTTAAAGCAAAGTATTGGGTTAGTGTAATGAATTCATAGTGGCCAATGAAATAAGAATTAACAATAAATGCATTATGTAAGAAACAGGAAATTCCTAGAGGGAGCCCTGTTTCCCTCATGTTGATATCATGATGCTAGAATTCATTTCAATTCTTTATTAAAACAATGTCAGCCAATTCAAAAGGATGGATAAGATCTCTTCATCACACAAGATGGTATGAAATAAAATCTGAAAATGTAGAAGAAGAAAATAATGTGGCTGTTGCATAAGCTATATCTACATCCAGAAACAGTTTTAAAATGTGGGCATTATATGCATAAAATTACATCATTTTAATATACGCCTTTGGGTACCTGTAAAGTTCCTGGTTACATTTGTTCTGCTCATCAAAATTCCTCATTTCTCTGTATTGTTGCCAATAACATTTTCTGAAAGCTTTGTGCTTCTGATGGAGGATATGAAAACTTTCCTTGATCACTTCTGCATATGTTTTGACAGAATCAGTGAATTTAAATGTAAAGGAAATTTCTACTTAGAATTTTTTCTTAAGCAAACCACAAAGAAAAAGTAATGGGTTCCCAAAATGACCTAGAAATTTATATGTAAATTTAACAATGCATTTCTTAAATATTATACTGGAAACAAATTATAGTAGTGAGCCAAGAAGCTCAGTCTTAAGAATTTTCCATCAAAACATAGGAGAACAAACCCATCAGGACAAGATTCAGCAGTCCATCTGCATTTAAAAGGCAAAGGCCACTCTTTTGAAGACAGCAAATTCCACATTTTGGACAGAGAGGACCACTGGTTTGAAAAAGGGGTCAAAGAGGCCATCTATGTCAAAATTGAACAGTCCTCTCTCAACAGAAGGGGAGGATATGACATCATCTATCTCCAGTCTATAACACAGTCCTTTCAGCAGTTCCAAGAAGGCACCACATCCGTTTACACAGATAAACCTCCAAGTGGCCTCAACAACTCTCTAAAAGAATGCAAATGACCAGCTGTCTGCAAGGAAAATAAATCCTTCCATTCCCCACCATCCAATCAAAGCTGAAGAAGTTTCTTTGATGAGAAACAAAACTTCTTCGAAGAAAAACAAGAAAGTCCAGTTGCCTGTTGAAAAAGCACCTTTGGGACAACCATGACCTGGATGACTGAGAATCTCCATAGACATCAATACTTCTCTTCAGAACATCATAAGGATATGGCATTGGTTTGTATATCTCCCTCCTAGAGAGAAAGATGTCACATCCCGATTTTGATTCAGTACCATGTTTCTGGAAGTAATGTTGAATCAGTGGACTGTGACCACTAATATTGAAGCGATGCCACGTCAACTCGGGACCATAGCAAGCTGGGTGTGACTAGAAAGTAAATAAACATGACTATTAGTGCTTCAGGGCTTGATCTATTACGAAAGCAGCATTCAGAATGAATACTTTTTATCTTAGGTGAATGATTATTCCACAAGTTTGGCAATATATTTAAAATATATTAGAAAATCTATAATCTGAATAATTTTCTTCTGAAATTCTCCTATGAATTTTGGAAAATAATTTTCTCCACATATATGAATTTTTTGATATTCAATATCCAACATACCCTAATTAACTATTTCATAAAATAAGTCATCTAAATGTAGCCAATCTTTCTACATGAGTGATGTTTATTGTCAGGCTGACTCTGAACCTATCACTATCTAAAGGAGACTGATATTGCATCTGAACCAACCCAAACAGAGAGAGTTTTGAACAACTCTCAGATTCGTAAAACATTTCTGGATCATTAGTTCATTTTAGACAAATAACTTTCATTGCCTGGGAGAGAGCTGATTTACTTTGCTACAAAATAAATCAAGCAAATATATGTTGAAAACGAAGTTATGAAGTCAAAGGCTAATTTGGACAAGAGTAAGGAATACATTCTTATGTTGTCCAGATCCATTAATAATTATTTTAACATTTTTATTATCCATAAATAATGTCACCTCTCGAGGAAGCATAGCTATCTTCAGTTTCTTTTTGGGTAAGTTCTGGTGTCTGCTCCATGCAGCTTTCTCATTATCCTCTTTAAGTTGGTCACTACTTGATGTGGTATGCTTTATTTCTAAAAAGAGCACCCATTTGATAAATATTAATCATTTATTAAGAATTATATATTCAAATAACCATCAATTAATAAATAACATACACAGTTTACTTTCCAAGGGGAGCTATTACTCATATTCAGGTATGGAAGAAAAGTGACCTCATGGATGAGCAAATACATATTAGCAGACCACAATCAGAGTTTTTCACTACATTTATTATCATATTTTGGAACCAATAGGTCCAAAAATAAATTTAATTCAGATATAATTGGACCTATAGAATCATTATTTTCTCAATCACTTTATTTGAAAATTGAATATTTGAGACTGGTCTATAATTAAAAAACTCTTCCAGAACAATGGAGTGCTGATTGTGTAGGGTTCATCATTTATTTTTGTAGATGAACAACTGTACATCAAGGAATACCTGTATTAGATTTATATGGCTGCTCATCACATCAAATCTAGGCAACATAAATTTCATGCATTTTAGATGTGCAGATCAATAAAAAATTAATTCAATTTTCTATCTGTATTATTAGAATTTAGCAAGGTTTTTTATGATTTGGTTTTTTTAAAAAAAATCATAAAAACATGTTAATAACTGCATTCACATCTTATACAGTAATATACAGAATCTTTCTGCTAATGCTGTTCAAAATTTTATAGCAATAGCGCTTAGTCTTATATACTGCTTCATAGTGCTTTACCGCACTGTGTAAGTGATTTACAGAGTCACCATATTGCCCCCAACAATCTGGGTCCTCATTAATCCTTTGGAATTTTTTTTTGTCTTTTTGAAAGCCTTCTAATTGCAGGGCTAGATATTTGCATTTATTTCATTAAATATATGAAGTGGTAAAGAAGCTTTTGGTTCTCCTCCCCCCAGCTTTTTGTGGTCTTCACTATGGCATGTGGTTCTACAGAGAAGGGGTTCAGAAGCATTGTCTGGAATGACAATTGTCAACTGACATTTCTTAATTAAGTGGAGACTCCAGAAAATGTCACAAAAAAAGCATATATTAAAGAGAACCCAGTGTGCTGTTAGCATGATTTCAACGCTAGAAAATCCTTTTTTTTTTTTTTTTTGCAGTAATTGGAACTCCTCTTTTCCACACGTCCTGTTCAGCAGAATTCCCAAAATGCTCACGTTGATAGTGTTGCATGGTTATGTGGCATTCCCAAAAGTTACGTATACTGAGGAAGAAGCTTCTCTCAGAAGGATCCTGAAATGGCTTTTCACAAGTTAAAGGCAAAGATTAAAGAAATCTTTACCAAGATGATTTAATCTTTATTTTAATCCCTGTTCCTGGACTATGATTTCTGAGGGATTTTCTATTCAGCTGAAATGAACCACATCTATGCATGAATTCTCTAATCTGTAGCACAGTTAGAAAAAGGAATTCTCTTATGTATTGCTTAGAAATGGGATACTCTATAGTGGCAGACAAGCATTGTATTATCTAATATAGTTTGAAAGTCCAAACTGTGCATCTAACTAACCTGGTACAATCATCTGAGAAGGGACAAGCGTAGACAAAATATGGCAGTCTATAAAATCCTGAAATTTCTTTACAGGCACTTCTAGCTATTATTTGCACTCCAAAAATTATCAGAAGTAGTTTAAAGGTGATCTGTGATATAAATCACCAGACCTGATGGATTACATCCCAGAGTTTTGAAGGAGCTGAAAGATGTTATCTCAGAACCATTGTATCGTATCTTTAAAAAAACGTAGAGCCCTGGGGAACTACCAGAGGATTGGAAAAGAGCTGATGTGGTTCTCATCTTCAAAAAAAAAGGGGGGGGGGAAACAGATCCAGGAAACTATATGAGCCAGCAGTGTGCTGCAGCTGCCAAAAAAGCCAACACAGTGCTAGGCTGCATTAATAGAGGGAGAGAATCAAGATCACATGAAGTTTTAATATTACTTTACAATGCCTTGGTAAGGCCACACTTGGAATACATCCAGTTTTGGTCACCACGATGTAAAAAAGATGTTGAGACTCTAGAAAGAATACAGAGAAGAGCAACAAAGATGATTAGGGCAGGGGTCCCCAACCCCCGGTCCATGGACATGCCAGCAACCGGTCCGTACAAACAAGGAAAGCCCCATCCATAGGACGCAGGCAACACATGAAACCACACCCCCTCCAGTCCACGGAAAAACCTCTTTCCACGTAACCTGTCCCTGGTGCCCAAAAGGTTGGGGACCTCTGGATTAGGGGCCTGGAGGCTAAAACATATAAGGAATGGTTGCTGGAATTGGGTATGTCTAGTTTAATGAAGAGAAGGATGAAGGGTGACATGATAGCAGTGTTCCAATATCTCAGGGGTTGCCACAAAGAAGACGGAATCAAGCTATTCTCCAAAGCACCTGAAGGCAAGACAAGAAGCAATGGATAGGAACTAATCAAAGGGAGAAGCAACCTAGAACTAAGGAGAAATTTCCTGACAGTTAGAACAATTAATCAGTGGAACAGCCTGCCTCAAGAAGCTGTGAATGCTCCAACATTGGAAGTTTTTTAGAAGGGACTGGACAGCCATTTGTGTGTAATGGTATAGGGTTTCCTGCCTGAGCAGGGGGTTGGACTAGATGACCTCCAAGATCCCTTCCAACTTTATATTATTATTATTATTATTATTATCGATCATCGCACAGTCAGCCAGATGTTCAGACTGGATTTGGCATTTTGTCTACCTATCGAGTCCTTACCCAGGACCTGGGATAGGCAGATGTGGATGTTTGATGGTATTACAGATATCGTCGCAGGATGGAAGCAGTTCCTAATAAGGCCGCCTTTTGCAATTGACTAATAGCGAATTTGTCAATGCCAATGGTGTTCAAGTGGTGCTCCAGTTGTTTTGGGATTGCACCCAAGGAGCCTATGACTATTGGTACTACCCTTGCTTGCTTTTGCCACAGTCTTTCTATTTCTATTTGTAGGTCTTTGTATTTTGTTATCTTCTCCAGTTCTTTCTCTTCTATTCTGCTGTCTCCAGGCACTGCCACGTCCACTATCCAGACTTTTTTGTCTTTCTTATCGACAATTGTTAAGTCTGGGGTGTTATGTTGCAGGTGCTTGTCTGTTTGAATTCTGAAGTCCCAGAGCAGTTTAATTTTATCATTTTCTATGACTTTCTCTATTTTATGATCCCACCAGTTTTTGCTTACAGGCAAATGATATTTTTTGCAGATCTTCCAATGCACCATTGTTGCTACTTTGTCATGTCGCTGCTTGTAATCAGTCTGTGCAATCTTCTTGCAACAGCTTACCAAGTGGTCCACTGTTTCTTCAGCTTCTTTGCATAGGCGGCACTTACTGTCTGTTGCTGTCTTCTCAATTTTGACTTTGTATGCATTTGTCCTTAAGGCTTGGTCTTGTGCAGCCAGAATTAGTCCCTCGGTCTCTTTCTTCAATTTTCCTGCTCTTAGCCATTGCCAGGTTTTATTATTATCTGCTTTCCCAGCTATTTTTTTAATGTATTGGCCATGTAGTGCTTTGTCTTCCCATGCCTCTATTCTGTTCTTCATTTGGTCTTTCTTGTAGGCCAGTTTGGTCTCTCCAGTAGTTAGTAAGCCTTCCTGATATACTAATTTCAGTGCATCTTCATCATTGTTCTTCAGATATTCTTCCAAAGCCATTTTTTCTTCTTCAACCATCTGATGTACTTGTAGCATTCCACGCCCACCTATTTGCCTTGGTAGATAAAGTCTATCAATGTCACTGCGTGGATGAAGGGCATGATTCATTGTCATTATTTTTCTGGTCTGCCTATCCATTGCTTTTAGTTCTGCTTGAGTCCAGTCCACTATTCCAGCTGTGTACCTAATGACTGGGATTGCCCAGGTGTTGATTGCCTTTATGGTATTTCCTCCATTGAGTTTGGATTTAAGATCTTCTTCACTCTCTTGATGTATTCACCTCTAATCTTTTTCTTGACTTCAGTGTGCTTGATGTTGTCAGCTTGAAGGATACCCAAGTATTTGTAGTACTCTTCCTCATCCAGACTCTTAATGTTATTTTCGTGGGGCATCTTGATTCCTTCAGTTTTCACTATTTTTCCTTGTTTGATAGTAAGTGTGGCACATTTGTCCAAGCCAAACTCCATTACAATATCTTGGCTATATATACGGACAGTGTTGAGCAGCGATTCTATTTCAGATGATGTTTTTCCATACAGCTTCAGATCATCCATATAAAGGAGGTGGGATAGTCTGGCAGATGTTTTTGATGTTTGATAGCCATGTCCTGAGTTATTCAGTATTGTTGACAGAGGAAACAGTGCAATAACAAATAGTAATGGTGATAATGAATCTCCTTGAAATATTCCTCTCTTGATATTAACCTCTCCCAGCTCTCACCATTGATCTGCAACTGTGTCTTCCATTGTGCCATCGATCTTTGCACAAATTTTCTGATGTTTCTACTGACTCCTGTTATTTCTAGGCACTTGATTATCCAATCATGTGGCAGAGAGTCAAATGCCTTTTTGTAGTCAATCCATGCCACATTCAGGTTGGTCTTCCTTCTCTTGCAGTTTTCCAAGATCATTTTGTCTATTAGGAGTTGATCTTTTGTTCCTCTGCTATTGGGGCGGTTTCCTTTCTGCTCAGGTGGAAAGAGATTGTTTTCAACTAGATGCTGTTGTACTGCATCAGCTACCACACCAGTTAGTAATTTGAAAGTTGTTGGTAAGCAGGTAATTGGCCTGTAGTTACCTGGTGTTGCCCCTCTTGTTGGATTTTTCATTATTAGGTAGGTTTTCCCAGTTGTTAGCCACTTTTCAATTTCTCCTCCTTGTAGTATATTGTTGAATGCTTGGCAATGAGTGGGTGTATAACAGTTAGATGTTTCAACCAAAACCCATGCAGTTCATCTTCACCTGGTGCTGACCAATTTTTGATTTTCTTTGCTCTTTTTTCTACCATTTTTGTTGTTATTACTAGTTCTTTCATTTCAACTTCTGTTTTATTTGCATCCACCTCTTTTAACCAAGCCGCATCCTTGTTGTATTTCTTTGGGTTATCCCATATCTGCTTCCAGAACTGCACTGTTTCTTCCTTGTCAGGTACTGACTGATTCCTTGCAGTTTCTCCATTGATGGATTGGTAGAAACGTTTCTGATTGGATTGAAATTGGAGGTTCTGCCTATAGTTTGCAATTCGAGCTTCATATCTACTGATTTTCCTGGCTATAGCTGTTATTTGTTGCTTTATTATTTCCAGTGCTTCCTTGATCTTCCTTGTTTCTAAGTGGTATTTCTTGATTAGGTATTCTTTGGTCTTCTTGTTCTTCAGCTTCTTTTCTATTATTATTATTATTATTATTATTATTATTATTATTATTATTATTATTATCTATAGACCAATCAGCCTGACATCAATACCTGGGAAGATACTGGAAAAAATAATCAAAAAACATCTGTGAACATCTAGAAACAAATAAAGTTATTACTAGTAGCCAGCACGGGTTTATTAAAAACAGATCATGCCAAACCAATCTTATTTCATTCTTTCACAAAGTGACTAAATTAGTAGACGTGTGAAATGCTGTGGACATAGTATATTTAGACTTCAGCATCCAGTTTTGGTCACCACATTACAAAAAAGATGGTGAGACTTTGGAAAAAGTGCAAAGAAGAGCAACTAAGATGATTAAAGGCCTGGAGACTAAAACATATGAAGAATGGTTGCAGGATTTGGGAATGGCCAGTCTAGAAAAGCACTAGGGGGGACATGATAGCAGTATTCCAGTATTTGAGAGGCTGCCACAAGAAGGAGGGGATCAATTTATTTTCCAAAGCACCAGAAGACAAAACAAGAAAATACAGATGGAAACTAATCAAGGAGAGAAGAAACCTGGAACTATGAAAGAACTTCCTAACAGTGAGGACAATTAAACAGTGGAACAGCTTGCCTTCAGCCGTTGTGGGTGCGTCATCACTTGAGGTTTTTAAGACGAGACTGGACAACTACTTGTCTGAAATAATATAGGGACTCCTGCCTTGAGCAAGGGGCTGGACAAGAAGACCGCCAAGGTCCGTTCCAGCTCAATTCTGATTCTGATTCTGATTGTTCTACCAAACCGAAATGCTGAAAACAAGCACACTTATTTGCAACAACACAAATCTTCTTATCATCGCCATCCTACCAAGGGGAAAGGGGAAAAAAAACCCTCAGTAGACAAGAGCTTTGGGAAATTGGCTACTGAGGTGGAGTTACAAAGCCATCAAGCTAGCTGAAGTTCCAGCATTAGGAAGAGAGAAGAAACAAAAATTCTTATACAATAATCAATGGGGAGACAGACAGCATTTTTAAAAATAAATGTAGCTTCACAGGGTGTTCATCTGTAAATCAGTTCATCTTCAACAATGCTAATGCTACAGAAGTAAACCAATGAAGAACTTCTGTGCTTCCACACAATCCTTAGGGGAAAAAATGCAGTATTTTACGATCTAGATTCTAGACTAAGCTTTGTGGTAAGTACAACAATACAAGGTTATCCTCTTGTGAATTCTTTACAAACCAACTAAATGTAGCATATTTGTATCTTTCTGTCATAGGAATATGGTTTCATGATATATAAAAATAAGACACCTTTTTATAGAGAGATTATGATAAAATCCATTCAATTGGAGAGAGCATTCGCCAGTATTATTGCTTACTTAGTCTGAAAACGAAGTTCCACATACATACACTATTAAAGCTGGTATTACAGAAAATTCTGCAGATGTTACCTTCACTTTCCAATGTGGTAACTTCTTTGGAAAGCTGCTTTTGATATTTTTTCCCAGATACAGTTTTCTTGGATTTTTTAACAGAGATGTTAAATGTTTTCCTTGCTGGGATCTATTTTAATATCAGAAAAAGAAAGGTGAATAAAACATAATTATCACTTCATATTAGAATATCAGACTTTAGTAAAAATGGCTTTATCTCAATACTAATATAAACTAATTCGTATTTTACCTTCTGAATTTGCATATGAGTTTTTCCTATTGAACTGTATTGCTTGTAGCTCTCAAACGAAATACCAGTGCCTATAGAAATAAAATAAATGTGAAATTTAATCAAGAAAGACTGGAACACTCTTCCTACCTTGAATCCAGTGCATGCTTTCTACAATATTGTACTGCAACCTATTTTCAAAAGAGGAAGTGGTGAAAACACATAACCTATAGACCAGTGGTTGCGAACCTATGACACCCATGCCAGAGGGGGCACTCAGAGCCCTCTCTGGTACGTGTGCCTCACTCTTTGGCTATGTTTTTGCAGGAAAAAGCCATTTCTCAAGCCACTTCCCAGCCAAAACAAACACTCCACAATCCAAATGCCAAACCCTAACCCCCACCACACCCCAGGGTATCCACAATGCCAAATCCTGACCTCTACCCAGGGCAACCACATTCCTTCACTAACCTCCTTTCCAGCTCTGTTGTCCAGGGCAACAAAGGTTTGTGGGATTAAAAAAAAAAGATCAATCTGACCTTCCAACTTCATGCAAAAAAAAAAAAAAAGATCTTGCAAAGTTGGAAGGTCTGGTTGAACTTTTTTTTTAATAGGTAGTCCCACAAGCTTCTTTTGTTGCCCTGCACGCAGTGGTGGTGAACAGAGCTGGAAAGGAGGTTAGTGAAGGGAGGCTTTGGGGCAACAAGGGGAGATGGGGAAGAGTCTGCTCTGGCCTCCGCTGCCTCACTCCAACAGGGCCCAGAGGCTTGTTTTCACCAGGAAAAAGCCATTTCCCAAGCCCCTTCCTAGCGAAAACGGAGCAAACCGTGGCTTGCTCTTATTGAGAGCAATCCTGCGAAAACAAGGATGACAAAGGACAGCACAGTTCTGAAAATGAAATCTTTAAAGTGTGGAATTCTCTGCCAAATAATTTTAAATCAATGAAAGCACTTGAGATTGCTTTCCTTACTTTGTTTGGATCATCTTATGCTTGTGAGCAGCTGTCTTCAGCTTTGAATTATATCAAACCTGACACCAGGAACAGACTAATAGATGACCTGACTTCTGCATGTGTTGCTCTCAAACGTACAAAGTATAAGCCAAGTTTAAACATATTATCAGCATACATAAAACAGCAAAAATTACATTAATTGTTCAAAAGCATGCCAAATGCAAACTTTTACCTTTCAATAAAAAATTGTTTGTATCATTGAAAGCTTTGTTATTGTGTTTTTCTTTTAAGACAAAAGATGTTAATGTATGAGTTGTTTTTTCTAAACTAAAACCTCAATATTCAGGTAAAATGGCACTTTGTGATAAATAAGTGGGTTTTGGGTTGCAGTTTGTGCACTCGGTCTCTAAAAGGTTCGCCATCACTGCTACAGACTGTTCTTCATCTCTAAGGCATATTATGATCAGGGTTGTTTTAACTTGCCATTTATCCACATGCAGAAAATTTCAGGTATTGTGTAGGTACATAATCCTGAGAAAATTAAACCAAGTGTCTAGACTTATATTACAGTTAGTATGATAGAGTGGATTAGAAAGTAGTAAGATGACTTGCAATAGCTATTTACATCCAGATGTTCACGTTCTACAAAATCTCAGGCAAATTGAGCACCGTTTTTCAGGTTAATCTATTTACTATAGTTGATCTTTGCTTTAAGATATATGTACTATTAATGTTTTACTAAAACTTTAATTTTGCAAGCAAATCATATATTTAACACTAATCCATGACAACTCTATACAAACCTTGATTTCATTTTGACTTCTTGGCATGACTGAAATATAATTAAAGGGGAACTGGCATATTTTTTAAATTTTACTGATGTCATTTTTTCCCTTTACGTGTAATACTTTATAATGGTTCATAATGACAAACTACTTCATTTAAAATCAATGATCATTTTCCTTTATGTAAGAAAGAAAAACATAAATGTTATCAGGATTTTTACCAGTCCCTATTTTTTTCTTTTTTGACATCAAATCTTCTCTCCTTGATCGTTCTGGTTCCAGCTGAGAATAATCCCATTTATTGAAACTTCTTGGTTCATGCAGTGTACCTAACAAGGTTGTGCAAAAAAGGATTCATAGTAAAAGTCATAATATAGTGGATGATGTTGACTATGACTTAAACTATATATGGAAACAAAAGGAGTGAGAGGAAGAAATTTAAAGAAGTAAATGAATTCAAATTAATACACGTGTTTTCAGATAGCATGTTCTATCTGATTACGTAAAGATCATTTGAAGAGATTAACATTTGTTGTTCCCAACCAGTCTTTATTCATACAGCCAAGAGGGATAGATCTGTTTAGTTCCAGCACAACATCATATTTTTTTCAGATTATGAGCCACCTGGGTTCATAACTTGGAAAAAGGCTTTGGTGCATATATCTTGCAACCTGGGCCATCCAAATATGTTGAGATTCCAACTGATATGATTTCTATGCAGCCCAGGCAATACAACTGATCTTTAACTCATATATTGGTAGACAGTGACAACCATTCTAAATAAAGGTACATTAGCTACCTAGGGCAATAAAATTCCAAGTATTCAAGCAATTAGAAAAAAATTGGAGAACCTTTTTTAGATCTTTTGCCTGACCTACTGCAGGATAACTGTTAAAAGGTTATACCACCAGAAGTTAATAAAACACTACAGTATAGGCGTGGAGTATGCTGTCTTTATAAACAGCATTCTTTCATATGCCATATTACATGTTGTGTTTAAATGGTTTTTTCATAAAGTTACCTAACTGGCATAAAAAAATACTGTGCTTAAGAAATACAAGGACAAATTATCTTGGCATATAACTAGCTGAAACAACAAAGAATCTTAAAAAACATTTTAAAGAATTATTATTATGGCACACTTTGGCCTCTAGTTCACAAAAACCTATTTTTGTTGCAATAGTTTAAAAAACTAATTTTTGGAAGGTGCAAGTAGTAGATTCATCCCTTGATTCCCATCTAGGATAAGTAAGCGGAAAGGCAGTGACAGTGCATGTTCATTTCTTGAGTAAGGATATCATGATATCTCACCTCCCAGCCACTCGAAGAATACATCACAAAGCTGGGCTTTGAATTCAGAGGTATTAAACCAGGACCGCGGGAAACAGGAGCAGAAGCAGATGTACACAGCTTGACTCAATAGTGATGGAAAAAACTAAAAACTCAAACAAAGCAGGAGGGGGTGTGTGAATCTCAAATAAATCTACGGCAATTGTATTTGAGTATTTAAATTTCTCAGCCAATTAATTTTCAACCTGTGTTATAAGAATATTAAACCTCCTTAAAATCTTTTCAAAAGTCCCTCAATTAGAAGTTTAATGATTGGCAGACAGATAATCGTCATCTTCTCTCCTAACCTTCAATAGGAGAGAACTAATAGAGCTAGGAGGAAGAGTCAAATGAGGACTTAATCTAGAATCCCTATATGGGCCCGAAGGTGTCCGAATTCCCCCTCCCCCTGAATACTGTTGAATCTTATCTAGTTTCGCTCAGATATTAACAAGAAGATTTCTGTGTATAGGCTTGAGCAATGATTTCTTCCAGTAGAAATCATTACATAATTACTCAGATGGTGATGTTGCATTTAGCTTACTCCTCCAAAACCGTAGCATGCCACAAGAGTAAAGACAGCAAATATATACTTTTGGCAGATTAAATCACGGTTTTAAAAAGATGCAGATAACTACATAGATACTGAGTTGGTATTAATGAAAAGTAGACAGAAATTCACATTCAAGTGAACTTCCGTATTGCTTGAAAACTAGTTCCTAGAAATAAATACTGTAACAGAAGAAAGCTATTGACAGAAACACTGACTGCTTATGAAAATAGATTAAGTTCATCTTTATTTTTATCTATTTTTCTTAGGAGGGGGAAGCATTGGTATTGACTGGAAATCAAGAAGAGATGGCATACATTTTACACAATAAGAAGCCATAAGCTGATTATTGAAAAAGAAACCATAGTGTAATATTCAATAGTGTCCCAGTTTTAACCCTTACATTTAAACCTTCTTCCTGTATTTCTAAAATTTAAATCATATCACACTTAAAATTTGATTTAAAAAATAACACTAATATCGCTTATAGTCCAGTATTTCTTAAAATCTTTACTCACCTTGAGGATGCATTCCTGGTTTGAAACCCTGTGATTTCCTAATAGAATGCTGGCATAGTTTTCTGCAATGCGTTCAAACAAGTGCCCCTGAATTTCTCGATTTGGCTATTGGGAGAAGTATAAATTACATAGTTATTGAAGGCATATTTATTTAGCCACAGTGTCATGGCAATGGAATTTTAGGAAGGAAAACTAGTGACAAGAAGCCTAAAGTAAAAGCATACTGTCATTAGATGTAAATGGGACTGCCTCTGAGAAGTACAGATAGTCCTTAATTTACAACAGTTCAAAATTATAACAGCACTGAAAAAAGTGACTTATGACCATTTTTCACACTTATGTTGTAGCATCCCAATGGTCATGTGATCAAAATTCAGACGCTTGGCAACTGACTCATATTTATGATGATTACAGTGTCTTGGGGTCATATAATCACTTTTGCATGTTAACTTATAGACTTTGGAGGTTCATCAGCCCTCTTCAATGCTACCATTTAAGGACAATCTATCTAAGTTTTGAATTAACATTTGTAGCATGTATCCTATATTTTTAGACTTTATAAATACAGTTCTGTATGAACAATTAGATTGTAGATGGATTTTATTTTTATTATTGTCAAAAATAAAACTTAACATATCCCAGGCTTCTAGTAAAATCTACTTCTCTATGTTCCTAATTTTCTTTCCAAAAAACCTCCAATACATAAGTAATTTAAGTTTCCTAAATAAAAGAAAGCTATCCCTCAATTCCAGGCTACTCAGACAATTTTACTTAAGAAATATAAATTTGAAGGGAGGGAGGGAGGGAGGGGAGAGGGAGTTAAAAGGGAAGGGGAAGTGGGAAGGAGGGAGTAAGGGAAGGAGGAAGGATCATATACTACACGGGAGTCAAATTCGATAGTGTCATGTGATGTACTGTGATGTATCGTGACTTTTTTGCCTTTGCGGAGCCGGGGTGGGCGTGACTTTTGTGGAGTTGCCAGTTTGACACCCAATATACTGTATCGGTTTGCCAAAAATGTGATAGACAGACATTGTCTGACTCTCTCCTCCTGCATTATCCTTGTAGTAATCTTGTAAATTTGTAAGTTTGATGCTCTGGATTGCAATATTCACATTTTTGAGATATATGATCAGATACGACTTTTTCTCTCCCCTATACAAAATTGTTAACATAATACCTTAATGAATATAATAAATATGTACTTCACTGATTTTAATAACATCATTGTTTCAACATTATATGGTACAGAATCACAGACTTGGAAAGGACACTTAGGTCAACAAGCTACAGATAGTCCTTGACTTATAATCACAATTGAGCCCAAAATTCCCATTGCTAAGTAATAGTTGTTAAGTGAGCTTTGTCCCATTTTACGACCTTTCTTGCCACAGTTGTTAAGTGAATCACAGCAGTAAGCTAGTAACATAGTTTTTAATTGAATCTGGCTTTCCCATTGACTTTGCTTGTCAGGAGGTTGCAAAAGATGATCACATGACTCCAGGACACTGTACTGCCATAAATACATGTCAATTGCCAAGTGTCTGAATTTTGGTCACATACCATGGGAATGCTGCATGAAAGTGTGAAAAACTGCATGTCACCTTTTCTGTATCGTAACTTTGAACATTACTAAACAAATGGTGTAAGTCAAGGACTACCTGTACTCCTATTAATGCAAACATCCAAATTAAAGCAATAGTTATAAAACTTTTTTTTTTTAAAAAAAACCATTATAGTTTTTCTTTGCCAATATTTCAAAATTCTGAATAGCTTATTATAATTTTATAATTATATAGAACATATTAAAGATATAGATTTGGAATACCATTATTTTAAAACAGGTGAAATGATATAAAAATGGTGAACCAAAAATGAAAAGTTGGAGAAATGGAATTTAACAATCTAATCAATAACCACCCTCTATCCTTACATGATATAAGTGCAGGAATTGCCACCAGAAACTATCCAGCAAAACAGCTCGGGTGCTTGGAACATCAAAAAACCTGTGCAGCATTTTCACAGCCCACTTTGTCTGTAAAGAAACAAAAGAGTAACACCATAGTCTATACCCTCCTATGTTACGAACCCTCCACAAGTGTGGAATTGCAATTCTCTGACTTCCCTCTATGAACAGACAAAGCCTGGCAATAATGGGACTTGCTATCTTGTACATATTTTACTGTATATTTACTCCATCATCTTGTTTTACCTTAGACCTAGCGGGCCTAATCAGAACTATATTAAGCAGTCATAACAAGGGGTGTAAGTCATATTTTGAATCTCAGCTCTCCAAATTGTGAACTAATCTGAATAAGTAAGCATAATTAAAATCTGAAGAGAATAGTTAAGATCACGCTCTCAACTGAATCAATTCAAACTGTAAAGCTAGTTTCATCTCAATGTGTAAATCACAAAAGTTGTTCCTTGAATCTTTATCCTGTGTAACTGAGTGATGGAATCTTTAGTTCATACCAAGTGGTTGCATCTAGATATTCTGTTAATTAGAAAGATAACTAGATCTACTGTACTCATTTGAAGCTGAGCAAGGAAAAAAACAAAATTCCTGTGCAGATCACCAGGGGGCATTAAGGCCACTTAATATCAGGTGCTAATAGACATTTAAGCAAGTAAATATATGGTTAATCTATCCCTACTATTTTTCTCCAGAAGTAAGAGTATTGCCACATAAACCCTGAAGGTCTGAACTACCTTCCCAACTACAGATTTACTCTGAGCACGAATCACTTTCTCCAAAATTTCATTCAGCTCTATTCCATTGGGCAGTGGTGTCATTTCCTCTTCATGATATCCTGGGTAATGATACAGCTCTACAAGTTTATTCTTTTCTGTGATCATCTAAGGATCAAAGGAAGAAATAATACATGAGAAACATAGGAGACCCATAATTCAAAGGTTGTACTCAAGCAATCTGTTCAGAAAAAATGAATGTCCGTCTGCCTAATAAAATGGGTGTGGTTAGCTATCTTTAAATCAAGGTGCAATATTGCCCAGAATATATTAAGTTTAATGTATAATATGTTGGTAAATAAGTCAAACTAGGGACTCACTGTACCAAGCAAATTAAGCCCTAGTTATTCTTGTAGTGATGAACTAAGGCTTATTAAGCAGGATTCAGGCCTCAGATCCGATTAAAGCAGACATTGTAAGTAAAAGCTAAGTAAAATGACAGTTACCATATGCACAATAAGCCAGAACATACTACTTTATGCTTCCTAATCTTTATAGAATTTGCAGATTAAATCTGCTTGCACAGAGTGTGACTATGGGCCAAACTACATTATTTATTGGCTCTTTTAAGCATTTCTTTTACTAAAAAAAACACTATTAAGAGATTTTAATTTGATAGGGGAGGGACAATGCATATGATTATTCAAGCATGTGGGGAGTATTTTAAGTTTTTCCTCATATACAAGTGGTGCATGATGACAACAATAAATTCCACATCCTTAAAATTCTACATTATTTCCATAACAATATTTACTATTATGAATATTGTTTTATTTAATTAATATAATTATTAGGAAAATATTATTTTTATTTTTGTACAGACTATATTATCATAGTCCAACCTCAAACCATGGGATTCATAACGAAGTCTAGATCTTCCTTTAGCAGGAATGACCAATATTAGTGTACCAAATGAAGCTTTATAAAGTCATTCCAGGTCCAGCTATGGTATACCTGAAACAAAGGTTAGATCCTGGTAGATAAAAGAAAGTAAGCTGTCATTTATACCAGTCAGAGCTTACTTCTCTGGGCTTAGCAGTAAGTGCAACTAGGAGGAAAATTTTCTCAGGGAGGTATCTGCCACATACAGCGATTCTAATAGAATTCATATCCACCCGGGCTAATAATTATCTACCAGGTGTTTCAGTTCATGCCTGGTTTGGCCTTCAACCACAACTCTTATTTATAATATGGGGTTGATAAAGATTCTGGCTTATTTTATAGACTACATTAAGATAATGAATGCAGAAACTTCTTGAATGTAATATAGAACAGCGTTTTTAGGACTTAATTGGAAATCAACAACAACCACTAATGTTCTATTTAAAGTATAAATATTTATATTGTGGTTAGTGGTTGAGGAAACAATGGAAAGGAAGGGGAAGATCTATTTACTATGCCTTTTTCTTTTTTAAAATCTATATATGGTGTTTCCTTTGTTCTGTCTCATTTGTTTTCCTTTTATATTTCAATATTTTAACAATACTTTTTTTTTTAAAAATGTTAATGTTCAAAACTATTGTCTAAATCAGGAGTAAGGAATGATTTAACATGTAGAGGTGAGGCCAAAACTTCAGTGGATGTGGCAATAATATAAAATGAATATAAATATCTATCTATCTCTTGTCTGTAACTTTTAACTCAGTGAAATGGTGCAACATAGAACAAAATCTTTTCAACCAAGGTACCTCATATGGGTTAACTTATAAAATGCCTCCAAAATCTGGGACCCATGACTCCCATAGAATTGAAATTTGGCAAATCTTATAAAATCATCATAACATATTTTATGATATAATACAAAACATTATAACACATTTCTTGTGGTCAATTCCTGATACTTGATTATATTATACAATTCAGTATGACCTACTTTCAAGGCAGATGCATCTCTGAATATCTCCCTGAATTTTAAGCACTTTTCAAGTACACTAGGAGCTTTGCTGAAAAACTCAGTGCTAAAGGTTTGAGGAATCTGGTAAGGAAATATCTCTGAAATTACGGTTCAAGGGTTCATTGATTATTTAATGTTACATATACATGGAGAAAGCTAAATGTTTTTTCTATATTTTCAGAGTTTTTTGTTTTTGATAACTACTTTAATTTTATTTTAGAGGATTCGCACTATGATCATGTAGGTATTTCGCATAAATATGGTGGCAAATTATACTGTAAAGGTGCAATAAGCAGACTCAGAGCAGGTTCTGGGATTTCAAAAAAAAATTCTGGGTCATAGATTGCTTACTCTTTACTAAATGCTAAATACAGGTAGTCCTCGAGTTATGAGTGTAATGGATCCTGCCCATTCCACTCGTAACTTGAAAACTCATAGAGTGAATCTCGTACCTCGAATGAGATCACTCCCTTGCTCATTAAGACGCACGTGGTTCATTAAGCGAACATGAGGTACCTCAGGATAGGGAAGGCCATGGAGGGCCTAGTGATGGAACAGGCCCCCAAGGGCTCCCTGACCCACTAAGATACCGCATGCTTTCTCCTCCCTTCCTGCCATGCCAGACTCACTGGAAAAAAAATCCATCTCTTCTCTGCCACAGTCCCTGCTGCTGCCTGGATCTGAGGCCAGGGAACACTTCTGCGGCCTCCCTGCAGCCCGATGGGGCCTGGAAAACGCCTCCAGAGCCCAGATCGGGCCACGGGGGGCATGCGGAAGTGTTCCTCGGCCTTAGATCCGGGCGGCAGTGGCCTGGAAAATGCCTCCAGAGCCCAGAACGGGCCGTGGTGGGGCGCAGAAACATCCCCCGGCCTTAGATCCCTGTGTCAGCAGCCTGGAAAATGCCTCCAGAACCCGGATCGGGCCACGGGGGGGCATGCGGAAGCGTTCCTCAGTCTTAGATCCAGGTGGCAGCAGCCTGGAAAATGCCTCCAGAGCCCAGCTCGAGCCATGGGGAGGGCACGGAAGCATCCCCTGGCCTTAGTTCCGGGCGGCAGCGGCCTTGAAAACACCTCTGGAACCCAGATCGAGCCACGGGGGGGGGGGCAGAAGCATTCCCTGGCCTTAGATCCGGGCAGCAGCGGCCTGGAAAACACCTCTGGAGCTCGGATCAGGCCGCAGCGGGTCGCAGAAGCATCCCCCGGCCTTAAATCTGGGTGGTGGCGGCCTGGAAAAGGCATCCAGAGCCCCGATCCAGCCTTCAGAGGCACATGGAAGCGTCCCTCAGCTTCGGTTCCATTCTGTGTTGCAGAGAACAGAGGCCTAAAATACCATGTGATCACGCGAGATCAATAGCGTGAGATCTTGCCCCACTGATCTCACGTGATCTTGCATTACTTTAGGCCTCCATTCTCTGCGAATGCACTGAAGGCCTGGAGCAGCCAAGAAAGTAAAGGATCTCGATCTTCACAGGATGAGTATTGAAGGCCTGGTGCCTAGGGAGACCCGGGGCAGGTGGGGGTGGGGAGGGAGGGAATAACCAGGGTGAATGTTGCAGAGCCACAGCGGTTGCATGTAACTTTGGGACTTGCTCATAAGCACTAGGGGGCGCTCATCACGTAAGTGAACACTCGTAACTGGGGGATTACCTGTACTATTAGGAAACATTTATATTTTTTCAGACGTGCATAATTATAGACGTTTTGTTCAGAAGTGCCCAGAATTCCAAGTAAGCATAATAAAATATTTTGCAATATCAACATAATTAATGGAATAGGTTGCAAATGCTTGTTTAATAGTTTAATAGTCACTAAATATAAAAATTCTTATCCTGTATGATTTCTTCATAGCATACATCCCACAGTAAAGTTTGTATTTCCTAACCATTAAGAATAATATAGCTTCTAAATACTATATACTTATAGGAAAGAGTGACTTTTGATTTGTCACTCAATATCATACCTTTTTCTGGGCTATTTTTTTCTGATTTCTTAAAGTACCTTCATCTGACCCAAGCCTTCCATACTTTTGTATCACCACCTGTTCCTTCTCTGCAATATAAAAACAAGAACACTCATATTGACCACCTGAGTAGGTCACTTAATATGCAAATTTAATTGGTATGTAATTATTCAGGAGAAATGTAGACTTTTTCCATGTCAATAGCTTCTGTATTGTTATGCATTTAAACCTAAATGGAGCCTATTTGTACACAAAAATTAGCTACTATAATTTGGTATTAGCCCTGCTTCATAATCCTCTGATAAGCCAAAATTAGGACCATTGCTATGTTCCCCATCCCTAATTGTACTCATGCTCCAGGAGTGAAATGAAAATTTGAAGATGGATGTTGAGCAGATAGAAGTGGGGTAAAAGTACACATTTAATAGCAGTTTCCTCAAACATTCTGGATTCTTAACTATGGTTACTAGAAGAACAGTTTGGTAAGACATCTGATTTAAGCAACAATGACAAAAAGGGATATTTTTAAATATGATGTAATGAAACCTTATGTTTGAAGCAATTAGACCACTAATTTAATATTGTCATTATGCTTACCTTTTACTCTGCTTGTACGTCTTCCTTTTCTAGGACCCTTCAACCCTGCATACTTCCTCTGCATCATATCCTCAATCACCTTCAGTCATAACAATGAAGAAAAAGATAAACAGATACAATCTTCTTTAAACGTTCTGAAATTTATCTTATTTGTGGAGAACTGTAAAATAAAATATTCTCTATTCTGTAATTCCTGTTTATCTGAACAGTTAAAATACTACATCTCCTCTATCAAAAGTAATGGAATTTTAAAGTGCTTGCCTTTCCTCGAATCATGTTTTTCATTTCCAGTTGCTCTATAAATTTTCATTTACTTAAAGAAATCCAAATCTCCATATTTCTAACAATGTCCAACCTGATAAATAATTCATTCATGTGGAACAAGAATGATCTAACTCTGGTGTGAAGAATAGCAATACAACTAATGACCACCAATACTCTTCCCCAAAGTCTGTTAATTATTTTTATGCTCTTCTACTATATACATTTGTGCATAAGTACTCTCAAGCTGAAAAGCTTTCATTATTTAAACTGTTCATGTAGCTGCATCAGCTTAGTATCTGTTTTTTATTTTGTGCACCTACTCGGTTATATAAGTATATTTATATTTAGAAACAAAAAAAACTGCATTGATTTTTTAGCTTGTCATCAGAAAGGCTAAGCAAAGTATTTGACAATCCCTAAGTTGTTTAAAATTACATCAGAAAAACATTCTGGAATTCTGCATGTTAAAAATACTGCAATATATCTTTACTTACCACATCACTACTGTCATATCTTCTCAGTCCCAATTCTAAATGAGATATTTTTTTATTCACATTTTGTATATTGCCAATGACATACACTAACAATTTTGTTAAGGGATTTTTCCAAGTCTACAAAGAGAGTATACAAATGTTGCTGTTATTTCCGTTTCTTTTTCCTTTAATATTGCTTTTTAAATATGATATTCATTATTTTATTTGGAGAGCCTGGTTAGTGTAGTGGTTAAAGCACCAGGCTAGAAATCAGGAGCTCATGAATTCTAGTCCTAATGGCAAACCACCTCTGAAAAATCTTGCCAAGAAAACTGCAGGAACTTGTCCAGGCAGTCTCCAAGAATTGGATACAACCGAATGGAAAGGGAAAAAAAACATTTAAGAATATAGACGCTAGACTTTCTAGAATACTGATCTTGGTTGGTGCAAAATTGGAATTGAGTTTCCATTCCATCTTCTCATAATTAATACTACTAAATTCTTAGATTTGCTGTTAGTGTTTTGTGAAGGAGCTGTTGGGGTTTAACTCTGCTAGCTTCTTTTTTTGACCCCAAATACTTTAATGACACTAACTTCACATGCAAGGTATTTTTCATAACTGTGTAAGGAACCAAAGGACATCCATTTGATTGCCAGATTTCACCTTTCTATTACCTATCACAGATTTGAAGGTTACTCTGATTTGTAAGGCTCTGAACAAATAATTATTTTTCTCACAATTAAAATAATCTAGTTTGTTTGGTTGCAATTATTTGTATTTTTCATAACAAACATTTCATTCAGAGATCCATTTCAAGTCTCTTTTAAAATAAATTAAGTGGGGACTTGGTCCAATAGCAATTTGTATCACAAAAACATATTTCTGCTAAATGGAAATATATATGTAAATATAAAGCAATATTTTCATGCAAACTTCATATTATTTGTAATTAGTGAAAAAAAGATACAGCGTGGAAGGTCATCTAAATTGCAACTCATGGTTTTGCTTCTCTCTTCTTGGGTTGAGGATGGCAAAATCAAGAACCCACTTAGGGGGCTTAAAAATGCTTTAGTATGTATTAAATCCATCCTGCGGAAAACAACATTAAAAAAAAATCAGAACAGAAAGCATAGTTTTATTTAAACACACTTTTATTCAGTCATTTTATTCTCAATCATCCTTGAAGTTAACAAATTATCATCAGCTTGTGTTGGAATGTGGAAACAAAAGGAGTCACCTACACAGGAAACTATATTGGCAACTTGTTGGAAGTTCTTTTCACAATAGCTTGGACCCTATTAAGGAAGATATATTAATGAAGTATTTTGTAGATGGAATTTATTTTTCATAGGAGTTAGAAGCTGGCTGGACAGAGTCCAAGAATAAAACCATGGTGACACCTTGTGATATCATCTGGGAAGAGTCTGCAAGAGGTAAGGAAGGAAGTGCCAGAGTAAAAAGCAGTTGCATTAGCTTTCAGAGAGGGAAGCAAAGATTGAATTGGGACTATCATGAATGTAGTGGGGGAGGTGGGGGGAGGGGGACAATATGCTGGGGACTTTGAAGTGGGCTCCAATACAATCCTCTTCAAAAAAATGAACTTGGATTTAACTATATTGGCTAGCTATTGCTCAGTTTCCAACATGAATTTATTTACTTAAAACATTTATATAGGAAAATGGGGCACTGTGGGGAAGATATATGTTTACGTGATGATATAAAATAAATCACAGTGGAAATGAAGTCCACTGCCTTACATCAAGGCATGCTAAATAAAAAGGAGACCACATAGAGGATAATGAAGATCTATTCTGTACTGTTCCGAACTGTAGGATCCAGAATAATGGATTTTAAGTTACTAGAACGTAGATTCCGATTATTAAAAAACGCTTCCTAACAATACCAGAAATTCGACAGTGGAACAAAGTAGTGCGCTCCTTTCTCTGCCTAGATCTGTCCAAGAGCAAACTGGACGGGCTGAGACTCTAATTTGTAGAGTACATGAGAACTACAACTTGTTGAGCACTGCCCGCTCAGGAACAACACACCATATTCAGAGCTCCCAACCATTGTTCAGTTTGAGGACGGCTAATATGGAATAAAAAGCTCACTTTCCCGACAGCAACCAAGGCTCGAATCACGCCGTGGACCGCCCTCTCCCGGAAGAGTTTAGCTTCGCTCCCTCGCTTGGCGTCCTTCTGTTACCATAGCAACCAACCGAAGAAACTATTGCCTTAGTCTACCTTTATACCAGACTAAAGGGGAGCCTAGCACCTCTTCGCTATTACTGGAAAATATAATAAATTGGGAATAATTTATTTGAAAACACAGCTTCTGAACAACAACATTAAAAATATCTCTATCAAAATTATTATTCTTTATTTCTTCCTCCCCCAGTTTACAATGATGGTAAGATCCTATTGCCTGTTCACGCCTCCTTTCACAGTAACGTAGGTCGCTACCATTACACGAGAAGGGGGGTCTGTATCTTCTGATACGGGTTATAACTTCGTAAGCCTTCTACTCATAGGACTATCTTCTCCTGTTAAGAGATTTAGTTACGCGTTCTTAGTTTATATATATTCAGTTTGAATAAGTGTATATCAAAGCTTATTTTCGCAATTGTGCAATAAAAGTAATCTCCCCTCCCCTCGTGTGGTACTGTCTGCTGTCCCAACTATCCTGCGTTATCCTCCCGGGGCTACCGCGGGGTGCAAAGCTTCAAACACCGGTTAAGGGTACGCCTGCGCAGATTGGTTTCGAAGGTTGGAACGGTTGTATGCGTTGTGATCGTGATCATGGTGTGAAACTTCCCTAAATTTGGTTTGACGTACTAGGTATGAGATGCAGGGTGGTTTCAAGAAAATGCCGCCCCTTGTCATAGAGCTCCTTTAAATGTGGTGTTAGCTTGGATTCGACATTTATGGCACAGGAGGTCCGGAATATCTGATTCTCCAAAAATCTTCCAGTGGGGTATTGCTTGGGGCAGAGACGGTAATAGGGCTGGATCGCTTGAAAGATGTATTAAAATTGCCACCCGCTACCTTGAGGAGACGGTCTACTCAGCGATACACCAGTGAAATTCAGCCGAGCAGCCACAATTGCACAGATGAAGCGGTGTTTATGGTTGCTCAGGGCTATTTGGCCAAATCTGGTATCTTCTGGAGATGTAGGCTACTGTATAGGCTAGGAATTTATAGTCTGGTTGAAGTCGAAAAGTTCTCTCTCTCCAACCCTTGTGGGCAGTGATTGATCTATGCATTTTTCAATGAAATAATAATCTTTGGGATTTTTTTTTTTTAAAGATAAGAGGAATTTAGAAGGATGCCACTTTTTGGAAACACATTCAGTCCAAAGAAAACTCCACCCAGAAAATCAGCCTCACTTTCCAACCTCCATTCGGTAAGTTTGGGAAGAAACTGAAGATCTATGCTATCTTTTTCATCAGAATATAAGAATCTTTAAGCCATTGTCACATAGAAATTATTCAGAAAGGTAGAGCCAATATTGTTACTTGTTGAATCCTACTTGTGATGTTACACATCTTTACCCATTTTTATTTAAATAATAAAATATCATTTTAAACAATAAATAACTGTAAAACTGAACATAAAAACACAAAATTGTTGTCTACATTAACCACATATTTCTATTTTGAAAGCAAAATGTATTTGGCCATCTATCCCCACTTGAAGAAACCACTGTATAAATAAAAATAAGTTTTCCTTTCATTGTGTGGAAAAAAAAGATTTAGAGCAGTTCTCAAGCTCTATGAAATCTTTACTCTGTTTTGTAACATATTAGAGAAGAGAGTGGGGTTTACGTCTTAGCTCAGCCTAGTCCACTCTTACTGTTTTGTTTTGAACTTTTTATAATTTCCTTTTCCCAATTTCAGGAGGAGCTAGTTTCAGAGGAGGTTAGAAAAGAAATCTGATATTGGAGGTTTCCTGATCTTGATGGTGGGAATTCAACCTATTCTGCAATGACTGAACGCTAAAGCTATATCATTGCATCCATATTTCTCTAAAATGCAATATTATGGGAGCATCAGTGTGAGGATGCTAAACAACTTCCTATGCATATTTAAATAAGATATATACTTTTTATGCCCTAGAATAAATGGATTTGGCATTTTTGTACAAGCTTGCCTAATGCTAAGAAAATAAATAGAAATTAAGGAAAATAAAATATTGTGAAAGTACTGAAGTGATTTTTCTGTTTTACAGCTGGACAGATCTACCCGTGAAATTGAGTTGGGTTTAGAATATGGCACTCCTGTTATGACACTCACTGGACAGAGTCTGAAGTTTGAGAATGGCCAGTGGATAACTGGTAAGAGAGAAAGAGCAATTATCTCAGTGACTGCAGTATTCTGCAGTGTCAGAGATATAGCTCTACAGATAATCCTTTACTTACCACTGGTTGCGTAGGAACCATTCAAAGTTATGACATATCCCCAAAAAGTACTCCAGTCCATTTTGAAGTTCCAGCATCTGCGCCTCTATGGCCACATGATCTCATTTGGAAACTCAGTAACCAGCCTGCATTAACAACCATTTGCAACACCCTGCAATCATAATTTATGATGTTTTTGTAGAAAATTGATGTTTACTTCCGCTTTCTGGCAGAAAATGGCCCATAGCAAAAAATGCATATATTTAATAACTTATTTAAGCTTTTGCTTAATGATTGCAGTATTTGCTTTATGATTGCGGCATTCACTTAACAACCGCTGCAAAAAAGGTCATAAAATTGGGTCCAGTCACATAGTGACCTGCTTTACAACAGTCTCGATGTGTACTCAATTGTTATTATAACTTGAAGACAACCTGTAATCTGACAGTATAGATCCAGGATCGCATGTCCACTATTCTACCGTAGTGCTTAAGGATGAGATGGCTTAAATCCTGATTCCTTCCAAAAAGGAGCATAATCAGCCTGATGCGCTTTCTGCCATCATCTTTTTGCAAAAACTGGTTGTTATTGGATTGGGTGTGCAAGTAGTAATTATTATATTAGGGGTGGCATTCATATTATAGTTTAATCTGGTTTGGTATTCTTGCTAAATCATAGGTTGAAACAGACCTTGTTCCTTCTAATCCTTTATACAACACCAAATCTCATTTTCTCTTGGAGGCATAAAATAGTCTTAATATGCACCAGAACATACCCATAGGGATATCTATTGATATGTGTGCAATTTGATTCTAAAGACAGTGGAGGAAGCCAGATTTGTTTAATGACTGTGATTTACTTAACAACCATGGCAAAAAGATTGTAAAATTGGATGTGACTCACTTAACAATCCCATTGCTCAGCAACCAGAGTTTGAGTCCCAAATGTCATAAGTTGAGGATTACCTGTATCCAAATATAAGGAATATTTGGAAACTTTAAGAGACATATTCTAAGTTCTGAGATGCTTTAAACAAAGAGGAAACAACAGAGGCTTCTGGGCCTGAATGAAATGGAGTCTGTGTTGGAGCCCTTGATGTGAGTACTACAATAGGCTTCTATCTATCCAACTGGGAAATGAAAGGTAAAACTATCTTGCAGATTGGAATGCAAAAAGGGTTCAAACTCAAACTAAGACCTTATTTTTACATCATTAAAACGTTTGGTTGTCATCACTGTCATTGTAGAACTTTTAGCTGCAACTAAAATGTTATGATACTCAAAGATACCTTTTCTGGCCTCGGTTTTATACTAGGCCAGACCCAAGTCATTTGCTATAATATATTGCTTGCAGTATCTTTATTTATTATGCTTTAATTATTCTATATAAAGTATTATTTTGTATCAGAACTTTACTGTTTTTCTGACTTGTTATTTTGTCTATTTTAGTAAAGCTAATGTGATTGGTTCTTGCTGGAGTTCTGGCTCTCATCTTCCATTAGATACCAGAGCAAAACAAACTAGATAATTTTGGGATATGTAATTCCAGAATCATTTGGAAGCAATGGGGATCGCAGGGAGACACAGCGTCTTCGCAAACGGAATCAGCAACTAGAAGAAGAGAACAATCTTCTTCGGCTGAAAGTGGATCTTTTGTTGGATATGGTAAGGTCAATGTGTCATCTCTCTTTTTATCACATTTCAGGAGTTATTTAGTTTCTTAATGATTTCTTAGCACAATTTGCAAATTCAAATTAGTATGATTTGAAGATTTGTGGTGCTATTGCATTCCACGCCTCTTGAATTGGTTATTATGGGTGCCACACATGCCAATTCCAGGTGTGGTGGTAAAAAGTTCGAGGCCAAAGGTATACGAGCTGTGATTTTGCTTTAGCACAAGGCTTCAGTAATCTGCAAATGCTTTGTTGGGAGCCCAGTGTATATTGTTCTTTACATGCTTGTATCTTCAAAGTGAATTGATTGCTTTAGGTGACTCAGCTTTTGGCCACAGCACAGGACAGCCCATAAGAAGAATTTCCCAGTGAACAAAACCTGCCATTCATTAATCCAAGATACTTTAGATATCTCATTATACAAACTTAAATCTGGAAAATTAAAACTACTACTGGCAACAGGCTTTTTCTGATTGAGAAATGAAAGAGAGAATTTTTCCAGATAATTTTCAAATAGTTTACTTGTTTTGTTCAGCATGTATGCCCTCTCAAATCACAAAACAATTCTAGATAGCTTAAACATTAGAGTTAAAAACAATAATAGTAATAAACATAATATTTAACTACACACCAGGAACAAAAAAAGACCCAATAATAATTACAAATAAATAGAATAAATCATGATCCAAACTACTCCGAGGCTTGTTGGAAAAGCCAGCTTTAAAAATTTGTGAAACTACAGCAGAGTCAGGATATATGGACTTACGGGGAATGCCGTTTCACAGGCCAAGCATAGCTATAGAGATCATCAGTGTTCTAGGTCCTACAAGATCATACTGGTTTGCAGGTGGGACTTAGAAATGACAGTTCTTACTGGTTAGTAGAAACAGCAGGAAGCAGCATTCAGATCTTTTATTCAATGTCTGAAAATGTATTTTAAGAATATAGAACAGAATACCATATATGTTATACATTACCTGCGGTTGATAACTTATTTTTAAAGTATTACTTTTATCCCAAACACATGATTGAAACCCAGCCCATCTATGCAAACTTTTGGAATAATTTTGCTTTGGAATAAAACCAAAAGAAAAATACTTCTGGGTGTGCCACAGCATTAGTATTTATGTATTTCCATTACCATTTATCCCTTTCACTTTCAGCTCTCTGAGACAACTGCTGAATCCCACCTTATGGAGAAGGAATTAGAAGAACTGAAAAATTACAGCCGAAGGAGAAAGTGAATTATAAATTGGCAATCACTAGGAGACAGAGGGAGGAAATAATGGGCAAATACAATTTATAGCAATGATAT